TCAATCATTTTCTTCATGGTCAGATGATACTGATTTCGTTCTCATCTTCCAGTTGATTTTCTAATAAAGTCAATAACGTATTTGTCTCACTGCTTTTTGCTCCAGTTATGGACTCTGTTTCCAGCAACTTTAAGCTGTTTAAATCGCAGCACCTCATCCACGTACGATCTTGAGATGTGTTGCAGTTCAGGCGGTGAGATGGTTATGTCGGCCCTCTACTGCACATTTTTCTTGCATGCTTTCACAAAAGCTCTTGCTACTGCTATTGCTACTAGTGCTAATGCTGGTGGCGGCGGCGGCATATAAAGTCATCACAATTCAACAAACAGCCAACAGATAATTACGATTGAGGTTTGAATGGTTTAACTCAGACAGCCATCACACGCTCGGAATAGCACTGTACGGCCGTTCCATCCTTTCGGGAATCGTCATCAGTGCGCTTTCCATCTAACCTATCTGGGGCTTGAATCAGTAACTCGGCTGTTGGTTGGCCGTCCTTGATACCTCTGAGCTACGCGGGACGTTAACGACAGCCGTGAGTAAGTGACTAGATGTGATATAACGCCACTCATTTTCCACTGACTTGCGCGTTACTGCAGTGCAGATGACAGGGTAGCCCTCTCACTAAACGACTAACTTGCCAAACTTAAGCCGCCAATTAACTTATGGCATTATAAACAGTTTGGTCTGCGTACTGATTACAAAGGACAGTAGGTAGATTTGAATAGTGCAAGTAGAAATTCATCACTAGTTTCGCTCAGGCGACCATTAAATGTACGGAAATTGGCTGTACGGAATGCGCAATGTTAACGATTCCCCAGAGGACGAGATGACCATATAGTGCTTGACTGGGTCTTGATGTAACGTATTTCTACCTAGACATATAAACGTAAATGGCGTTCTTTGCTCGCATCTCTACTGTTTATTAACACCGTCGTGATTATTTGCACTTTTCAGACGGAGATGGCAGGAGTGCGATTAGAACCCTTGATCTCGGTTTTTGGCTGCACGAATCTGCGTAGGTGCGGGCGATCTCGCAACCCCTCTAGCTCGTGCGCGTCCCGTGGTGGTCGCATGGCATCGATGCGTGGATACAACGTACCGATGTATTACTGATGCCTTTGTGATATTAGCCAACTTCTCTACTCCTAAGCCACCATTGGTTCCAGTCCCTGTCTCCACCTTTGTATTTTCACTCAGCTCATGTACCTCCGTTTTGTTTGAATATTAACAAGGCGTCGATTCCATGCAGTGTTGTACTGCCAAAACTTTATTCTATATCCAGGCATCTCTGAGTTTACACTAGGCTGTCTGCTCTCTATGGAACCATGGGAAACCGTTTTCATGACCTTTGTGTTTTATCATTCTTATGGGGATTTCCTCTTGGAGTCTATCACATGCTTTACGCTCGTGAAGCGGTCGATGGACAAAGTGTTCAATCCTGTAATCCCATGGTCACCGGTTCGAGACTGCGTAGGTCCAGGCAAACTCGCATTGTCTGCACAACGCACGCAACTAATAGTGGTGGCAGCGGACCTTCGGGACCGGTTACCGGTGGATTTATAAGGATCATACTGGATTGAGCCTTAACTGGCGTTCTAATTGTCCTCAGTTCCGTTAGACTAGGAATCAATACGCTCCCCTCAGCGTCCTACAGTGTTCCTCTTTCTAGCGCGATTTATCCACCTTCAAATTGCTTCAAACAAGTTCGTAATCTGACATTCACCGTCTATCCATCGCGTTGCTGGCCGAATTCAGATCGATCTTATGCGCAGATAAACATTCGATTGCAGTGATCACTGCATTGAACTAAGGTCAATACTATCCTTTCTCGGATATCATTTCGCCTTACTTGTCAAATCCAAAACGCTGTTTAACGTCACGGTACTGATAAAATACAACACTCACGAAACTTGGTCACTGCGCGTAGCTATTTCCTGGCTATGAAACGCGATCCCTCCTGTAACCAACGTTCAAGGGTATCAACTGCGTTTTGACAAATGTTCCATCTATCCTACCCGTGGAATACGGTTTAAATCGTCTTTTCTGACCCGCTGACAAAGGTCCGGTTGGTTTAACTCGGATCATGCAGTCAACAATAATGAATAGAACTATGTGGTTGACAAAGTGGAATTATCTACAGAATTGCAATTAGGTAAATCCGAACGGAGCAGCAAAAATGTTGGCCTAATGAGCTTATAATGTTAACAACGGAGGTCAGCTATTGGATATGATCATAACTTCTGAGGTTCTATCTTGGAAGTTACCGGGTTACGCCGTGTCATTAATTATCACACGCTGTCCACCCATTTTGGTTGTGCGACTTTCTATTTCGGAGTAATATATTCTCGCAGTCTGCACTCCGCAATGTTGGCGTCTAAGAATTTTTTGAATCCCTACACTGATTTTGCGTCGAACATTGTCTCGGGCGAACTATTCCATCATTTCACCACTCGATGCTTGCAACTTAGGGGGTGAGGTTTATCGGCTTCAGGTTCGGTATCACAAGCTTATGCGCGTACCCGCGAGTGCTGTTCGTTAAACACACGTGCAACAGCGGTCTCAGCATATGGAAGTCACTCTGATGTAATATCCAGTGCGTTAGTTTGAGGTTCACTGGAAACGGATGGTACGACAGGGTTCACAACCCTAGTGCCCTACATCGTTCTTCGTACTATATGCCCCCTGAACTGGAGGTCAGCCTGGTAGCCACATGCTGAACACGTTCCAGTTTTTGTACCGCGCCACGGGTAATCATACAATAGGTGGATGGGCCGTACTTGAGCATTAGTCTTATGATAGAAGAAGTGCATGGGGATCACTTAGTACGGTAACTGTACAAACACAAATTTATTGTGAAAAAAGTTTGTTCAATGTGAAATTGGCACGTGTCACATTTTGGATGAGATCGTTTGCACTCACATGAGAAACAACAGGCTTAATTGGGGTTTCCTACTAAACGTTTGTTGATGGATATCAACGTTCTGCACTTGGTGTTTCAATTTCGCGGATACTACACAAAGTTTGTGCTGTGCGCATTTTCGCATCCCTGGTCTGAACAGTAACGACAGCCGCATCGCTGCTTTGAATTGCAGCTCTTGTGTGTCGTGGTAGCCTCACAGAGACCACATGGGCCCTGCTTCCTCGTACAGAAATCACTTCGCTCATGTGGCCAAATTAATGGGTTAGCCATGAGAAGTCCACTGCTGATGATAGAGTGAAGTCTATCTGAAGAAGTAGCCCGGTTACCCTATTACAAACGTTATGTGGACGTTATCTTCGCGTTCTGTTCAACAGAAATGTAAATCACACAGCTAGTAACGTTTTAACTCCTCGCATATCAATTTGAAGGTTTTCTGCGAAGTCGAACACCAAAACTTTCTTCTATATTTAAATGTTCTCATCAACCGCAAGGAGAACGGATTGATAAAAAGGTCTATTATCTACCGCAAAACAACGTGGTCTGGACAGTGTCTGCATTTTATCAGCTTTAAGCCAATGTGGCACAAACAAACGCTTGCGAAGACCCTATTTAGTCGCGTCAGACGAATATATTCGACAGATTATCTGGCCAATGAGCTTGATCTAATTACCAACACGTTAATTGCTAAAGCTACCCTCGGAGATTGTTCCAGACGCATAGCCACATCCGTGAAATGAAGGCTGCTATAACTAAGAAAAAGGTACTCTTAGAGCTGCGCTTTAAAGATGACATTGTTTCTTTGAGGACTACAAGACGTCTGATTTCCGCCGCGCACAGCACTTTCTGTGCTGCCGAAGTTGTAACCATCGACCGAACTCATAGGCCATCGTTGCCTCCATTGAAGGAAACAGCCTATTGGGGCCAACTTCCACTTTGTATACGAATTCGTATGTAGTTGAACCAATAGAACACAGTTCCCGATTAAAGGAGCATGTACCAAAATGGGTTCAATGCGGGATTATTCAGCATGCAAGCCCAAGTCAAAGAACGTGTGTGCGCTGGCCCCAGGCCGGCATCTTCGATCGGCAGACACTTATTGATATCGGGTCACCGAATTGAAGTCAACAAGGCGTTTAGCATCCCGCTGCACCATACCAATGCCCGGCTTCTCCGGTCGGCCTAGGCTATTGCTATTAGGTGGATTAAGCCAGTGCTTTGCGTGCAGAACAATTATCGGTCAGCCTCAGGGTGCCCCGGTTGTAGGGAAAGACACCCGCTTTTCCTCTCGTTTGTTTATATGTATGTCTGTACCCACAAACTGTATAAAATTACCAATTCTCGTTATTGGCACTGATGAGACGATACGAAATGCATGCATCTGCCCAACTTCGTCGTCTACTTGTGCCATTCAGTCTCTAGGAGCCAGTATAAGCTAGGTAGAGGGGATTAAATAGGTAGGCATCTAACCAACCTTCACATCAATTGCCCCCACCGGGGTATCAAACAACCACTCAGGCACAGGTCCATGCGTACATACATGCATGTGTAAATATATGCATTCACACAGATCCAGTATGATACCACTAAACTTGAAATGATTTTGTAAATTTACCATTCATTTTTCTTCGTATTATCATGAACGCCTCGCATTATCGAGAATAAGCTATTTTATTTGCCTTTCACATGACGTCTGCATTTAACTCATGGCATTTATCACCAAAATTCCATTACTGTGAACTAACATCAATCTGCGCCCTTACACATTGCTGCTATAATCTACGTAATACAAAACTATTAGCACGATTAAAAGCATGCAACTGTAGAGATGCACTCACTTCAATGTTTGTCCATAATCACACACTATCTCTCATCGTCCACTGTACTACGACGTAAAGTGACACTGTCTGCTGCGATCCTTTTCCGAATTGCCCGTTTATGATCCTCATTCATGAGTAGTGTCTCTTGGCCACATGTCAGCCTTACGCTCACCCCCATCAAGTAGTCACGTGGGTGCTCCTATTGGTGGTCCGTACACAGATTCGACTCGCTTCAAACCACGGCGCAACGGTGCTCGCTCGTCTACGGCTAAATTACGGTTCTGGTGGTGGGCGATTTTAGATAACGTGGCTTTTATCTATCCTGTTTTTTTCTAAGACTTTATTTACCTGATCTAATGCGACATCCCTTCTTTCTTCACAGCCTAAATGGGTCGTTCTGATCGACAGCGCAAAAAGCATATATCAAGCAAGAGTACAGAGCCGGATAAGCGTCCACGATTGGCCTCCGGTAAGGGGAGCGGTAGTAAAACCACTGAGGCGGAATGTGAACAGTCCAATCGGGAGTACGATGATAACCTCGATGAGGATTCCCAACCGGTAGGGAAAAATTACGACGGAGATGAGGATGAAGAATATGATCCGGATGAGTACGAACCTGAGGCAGTGGATGCCGATGAAGCCCGTGTATTGTCAAGAGCACGTTCGAAGAGTTTCAAACTGGACAGTGATCACGCACCGTCTTCGGCAGCAGCCACTAAACAGGCGCCTGCAGTAGTCACTACTCCGAGAGATGAATTCGGGGCCAAAGATATGCGCCACATCTTGACCCTGCGAACTGACCATCCATGTCGACCTCTATGGGTCGGTCCGGATGGCCACATCTTTCTGGAGGCGTTCAATCCACTGGCGCGCCCGGCGCAAGACTTTCTCATCGCGATTGCGGAGCCCGTTTGTCGACCAATGCACATTCATGAATACAGACTGACCTCATATTCACTGTACGCTGCTGTGTCGGTGGGCCTACGAACGGGCGAGATTATCGGTTGCTTGCGCCGATTGTGCAAAACTGATTTGCCCGCTGGTATTGTCGCCTACATTCGGAGTTGTACCCTTTCCTATGGAAAGGCGAAATTGGTTCTCAAAGGTGGGCGGTATTTCGTGGAAAGCATGCATAGGAAATTTTTAGAACAGTTGGCCAAAGACTCCATCGTGAGACAATGTCTTATTCGTAAATCGGACGAATCCACTGGTACCGATATGGTGGTGATTTACAACGCAGCGGATTTAGCTTTGGCAGACACTTCTGCCCTTAGTGCGATCCAGCCCATGGAAAACATTAACTCCAACCCAATGGCTGTTGAAGTGTTGCAGCTCTATGCTCAACTAGACGCAGAGGAAGAGCGATTAGCTGAGCAAGCAGAGAAACTGACACAGCAGGAACAATCCGACACGTTTGTCAATTCCACCGGGAACAACTTGAATCTGAAAGTTATTGGAATGGAATCAGAAGCAGCGGATGGTGAAGGTGAATTCGATGAGGAAGTGGATTTGTGTAAGTCGAGCACTAACGCCGCATCCGAAAACAGCCAACTGTCGGTCCTTTGCCTGGCCATTGAAGTTGACCAGAGTCAAATAGAGGTTCTTCAGCGCCGTTGCATCGAGCTTGAGGTCCCGTTACTGACTGAGTACGCGTTTCGGCAGGACAGACTCAATCGTGACATTGCAATTGATTTGAAGGCGAGTACTACTCTGCGGCCGTACCAAGAATGCAGCCTACGCAAGATGTTTGGCAACGGCCGCGCCCGCTCGGGTGTCATTGTCCTCCCATGTGGCGCAGGCAAAACTCTGGTAAGTATACTGTACTTGTCATTGTATAGTGCACTATCATGTTTGTACAGCCGTATTTTGTTTCAGGAGGTTGACATCGAAGAATCATATTTCTGCCCACTCATCTGAGACTCAAATCATTGGATGACACGGGGAATTGATTTTCTGAATCTGTTTTTGTGCTTTAAGGATGAATAATATGACGGCTTCGACTGTGCCAATCATAGCGATACTAGCCTAACACCGGTTGTTGCAAAATCACCAGTCTAAGTTCTCCTTCCTGGCCTCACTGCCAAACCGAAATCCCGGATTTGGATAGAGCATGCAGCTTGCCACGCAGGACCGGACTGTATAGAGCAGGGCCACACATACTGCAGACCGACAGCCTCAAGAGTGCGTTCGACCCTTTCCATTGATCCATTCTGTTCAAGATACTTGTGCCGAACGGTGTTTCTTGCTCTATACTCGAACACTACAGGCCGCGTCGGGGCCTACGGTGATCTGTCGGATATCTTTCCGACAACCAGTGGTGTTCGTCAGAGTCATCCATTTTCCCCATTTTTATTCAATGTCGTCGTAGGCTCCACCATGGACTATTCGCTGGCGGAACCTCACGATGCAGGCATCGAGGTGCTACCTGGTGGATAGCCAGTTGATCTTAATTATGTGGACGATTTTGTCTTGCTATCTAACGATGTTGGGGCGGCCCAGTCAGCTCTGAATAGCCTCTCAAGAGTTGTCCCTTGATTTGGTATACGCTTCACATCTTCAAAATGTAAAGTGTTGCTTCAGGACCACCAGCTACTTGACCCTTAACTGCGAGAAACTCGAGGTAATTGAGCAATTCACTTACCTTGGCAGCTGCATTGTGGCTAAGGGCGGAAATTAGTCTGCGAACGCGAATCCGAGTGTTCTCAACAACAAATCGAGCTATTTTACTCTATGGTTCCGAAGACACTCGGAAGCTGGAATTTTTCGACCATTGGTGTCTAAGGCTTATCTTGAAAATGTGGGGACATGAGCACATATCACCAGTGACGAAGCTCATAAGCATTGTTACGCTCTTCCGAAGCTCTCAGCGTATACCCAACGCCGCAGACTTCATCAGTTCGGTCACATCCTCCGAAGACCATTCACTGACTTTACTAAGGCCGTGCTTTCTGCCTCGCCTTACCCGGCGGTGGTGTCCTCACCGTGTTAACCAATTGAAAACGTGGCTCGCTGCAATTAAATCAGATCTCGATCTTCTGGGACTCCAGGGTGTGCATGGTGCTCGTCATTGGAGAATTCATAGAATCAATATCTGCGAGGAACTTGCCGTTGACCGCTGCGCTTGGGCAGCTGCATTCTGCGACATAAATGAAGCCGGCTCATCCTGTCGCAAGAGATAGCCGCGGTGAAGGCAGAGCAGCTAAACTTTGTCAACAACACAAAGCAACAAACACCTGGACACTGTGTGCATATATAGTGGCATCGACGGGGTACCCTCCTTGCGCCTTTCATTGCTCCGCGGTCTAATCAATCTGATTCCACGGATAGCCTGGCATCGCATATACACTTTTATCATCTTGCCGCTTCATCGTCTGGCAACCATAGTGTTTCATCCTTCAACGTGCTTTGTTGATAGCAAATGGTCAGATAGGCTGTTGATAACCATGCGAAGGGTATGGCTTATCGAACGTAGATGGTGCATTGTGAGTGAAACACGGCTACTACTCCGAGTGTATGGGGGTCCAAGTTAGGATCTGATTTTCTCTCTCAGGAGTTCATCACGGTTAGTGGTGCATGCCAGCGTTATCTTGCAGCTCTCTGTATTTGCAACTGTGTGATCTAAGCGTTGGTACAATCCTGTCTTAACCACTCTTGACGTGGGATTTCGCTGGTTGGGTCTCGCCTAGTCACGTTATCGTGTGCGTCTTTCTAGCCGTCTGCTGCGTGTGCGTCTAGTCTCCTGGTCGTGCGCACATTGTTGTCTGGTTTCGTAGTCTCAGTGCATTACTCGAATATCTGTGTGAATAAGCACCGCACTCAGGTCACCTGTGACTTTCAGCTAAGCTAACACGACCAGGTCTGCGCAAATCTGTTACTGGTCTCGTCTGAGATACTGGCAAGAAGCGAGACCGGGAATGAATCCGACCTAGCGCACCGGCAGTTTAGGGTTGGTGTGAGGCAGTAAATCTTTTTCAATCTTTGCGTAATACATCACATAAGTCCTGCTTCAGGGCCCCCATTGGTACACTTTTTGACTGTGGGGTAAGCGAAGTTTGTATATGTACTCTTGTTTGTCCCATGTTCGCTATCGTCCCAGCCATTCTACCATGACTTCTTTCCTCAGCTGCAAATTGACGGACGTGGATTAGGCGATCACGTCGATGGACACCATCGTTTCGTCACGGTCTATTCACACTTCTTTGAGTCTTGTCGGAAATTGCTTTGTCTTGTTTATAATTTTGCTATCCGTTAGTTCGCCATTTGCATCACATTCATAGTTCTTTTCACAGGTCTTGACACGGTTGGTCATCTCAGTTCACCATCTTTAGATGAACAACTATTTTCAAAGTTGAATTTGGTATATCCGCCGTGTGGTTGGATTGCGACACGCAGACGTCGACTCACTTTGAAAATGATCGGTCGGTCGGTGGCCAAGTTATCGCGCGACAGCGAAGCGCCGTTACGGCGTACAGCTGACACATTAGTATTTTATTATTATCCTCCGGTCATACTGATTACATGGGCTATATCTGAATTGGAGGTGTTTCGTGGTTGCTCCTCCTAACATCGATACTCATCTGATGGAGATCGCCTAGCTGGAGTTTAACTCGGGGCTTAGTGGTTCACGACCGGAGCCTTTATCACTATGCCACTAATATCCGTGAGCAACACTTGGCACAGCGGTATGGAATTCAAAATTGGATTTAGAGTACTCGCCATATGGTTAGATTGCGACACGCAATCACTATTGATACCTCGGCTCACTTTGAGGTGGACCTCGGTCATCCCGATCACGACACCCGTACCTGCAATGGGGATCTTCCGGTGTTGCTCATCCTAGTACCGACACACCAAGACCGACGATTTCGTCCTGGTTTATACTCATTAGTGTTGTATGGAAGCGAATTCTGGCCATTTCGCGTGCAAGACATGCACTGTCTTCGACAGTGGTTCTTCCAGGAGGATCGCTCGTGTTTGGTGGCATCAGCAAGTTCACACTGTTGACGTTAAACATCGTGTTTTACGAGATGCGAGTATTCCTTTCTATAAGCTGGTTATGCTGAGTCATGTGAGATGGCCTGGTTACCTGCATCGGAGACCCGACTGTTTACCGCGCCACTCTCTATCCACTCGTGCAGGATTTCAATGTAGGCGACTGATTGGAAGTCAGACTTTGACTTGGTGATAGCACATGAAATCGCCACCGATGGACCCTAACGTCCTCCTGAATGGATACTCAAGGAAGAAGAATGCCAGTGGCTTGACACGCTTGAAGTCATGACTCACGGTCAGAGTCGGTGAAAACTTTGTATTGTCGCGATTCACATGTGTAAGTCCTCAGTTATTGGAAAGGTCAGAAAAGTAAACTGCGTGTTTCCTTCTCCCTGAATTCCACTCTTCTTTGATTTCCACTGTTTGGCAGTGCGGGTATTGTCGGTATTCCTGGGAATATAAATACGTAGGTAGGTCATCTGGACTCTTCAGAAGCTCAGCTAGACCATAAGTATGGACCTAACTTCGACCGGACGGACGACGGCGAGCGTCCTTTGCAACTGTGGGAGGAACACCGGCTGTCTCTTAGTACCGTCTAGGCACAAAATGTACCAAATTGACCATTTTGCATCCCCCTGTAGCTAGCCAGCGATGGAACAAAGTAGATCACGTTGCCATAAGTTACAGGCGGCGTAGTTCCATCCTGGAGGTGGGTTGCGCTGCACCACCCACAGCTCTATCCACGCACCCCATATTCAGTGTAAGCCCGAAGGAATAAGACGCGGAGGCATATAGATGGGAGCCACGTTCCATCAAAGGAACCAGCGCACACTCCTTCAACAAGCAGAGCAGGAGCATTCCTGTTTATCTATGTGGGATATCACGCGTACGCAAGACGGTGACTGGGCCTTAGTCCACTCCACACTGGAGTGAACCACTGTTTGAGCCTAGCACGGTCAACTAAACCGTGCACCACGCCCCCAGCAAAGATAAGCACTCTCCTGAAGCCGGTATAGACAAGGTGGAGGGTAAAATACAGGTAGGCACCTTGTCAACGTTCACATCAAGCGTAACCCCATCCTGTTGTCGAACAACCAACATAGAATTTGATGGAAAATAGACAAAAATTTGGCAGGGAACATACGACATTATGACAGAACTGAGCACATTTTGGAAACTTATTTATCCAGCTTGAGAAGATCTAGTTTTTGTGTAAGTCGGCATAGCGCAACTGTAGTGAAACTGCACAATATATATATATATATATATATATATATATATATATATATATATATATATATGCCCCATGCTGAGGCTGATGTTGCATTCTTGATGCTTCTTCATCGCAGTTGGGCTAAACCAACTTACACTTAAACTAGGTCTTTTTAATGTGGATAAAATTCATTCCACTTTATTTGGTTTGTTCTGCGTACCTGATAATCTCCTAACTTGCACACGTCGCTCATGCTAATTGTAGTAAACTTGCGTAACTTTATCACGTGGTAATTTTTAAATAACTTTCGGACATTTTGTGCTTATCGCGGATTCGCTTATAACCAATTTCTTCCATATGCTCATTTAGCGAGTATTTATGTCGTCGTATACGTTTACTTTATTCGATATCTTTTATTTGATATCGGCATTTCGAATGATTGGCTGTTGTTTGACATCCCAGGTGTGGCTGCGCTTGATGTGCATGTTGACAAGGTGCCTACCTGTCTATTACCCACTACCTCGTCCATACTGTCTGTAGGAGATAGTTGGTCGTTGCTGGAGGGGACGGGGTGCACGGTCCTTGTGGTCGCGCTGGGCTCGAA